TTATTCATAAGATTTAATCGTCTTTATTTTTGTAGAAACTATTAAGATGCAATGATGTTGTAAATTTCAGATGTACGTGTTTTTGTAGAGTTTTGTGTTAAGTTTCTTGTTTCTTCCATGCAGATGAATCTATACTTTTTTGGACTATTCTCGTCATACTTTAAAAAAATTCTATAAAACTTTCGCTTCACCTATAAGTTGTTGATGCTTATTAAGAACAGTTAATGTGCTCTTTTCACAATTTTAATCAAACTGCTAGTAGATGATTGCAAATGGTTTGATTACTGGTGAGTTTAATCTTGCTGTGTTGTATAATTACATTTTAAATAAAAATATATGAATATAGAGGTACTTGAGAATTGGAAAATTGTTTTATGAAGTTCTAAAGCAAGCATAATATGTTTGTGTCTATGGCCAAATTTAAGTTTTATATATCTTTTTATAAATTCCTTTACATAACACGTCGAAAATACCAAGATTGACATGATAACAATTACAAAATCATACGATGTATCTTTGATTTACATTACAATGTAATCTCATGATTATTTAAATTCCTTGTGAACCTATTTCTATAAACCATTTTCTATAAACTATTCTATAAACCAACGTATCTACGATAAAATGCACTTCAATTTTCTACGCAATGTAAAATGTAAAAACAAAACAAAGAAATCTATCTTCTTCAAGGAAAACGGTAAGTTATTGATGACGTGTTTGTATTAAAATGAATTTACTTGCATACGTAGATATCGGTCAAACGACTAAATTCTTATACATGACAATGATGACATTGCTGTTTGGCATGGCGAATTTATTTCGAAATTTGAAATGTTAATGTAAATTCCGTCTTTGATAACGATGCAGCTTTGTTAAATTGTCTTTAAATCAAAAATCTTGAGTTTTAGACTCAATTTGTCATCGGAAATTTCATCGGCAATATGCAGCATCTTATATTGATATTTGTTTATAACAATTTTACCTTGCGCATAAATTTTTGTGTAAAGAATTATTCATTTTGGCAGAAGAAATTACAAAGTGCCATTTCCCCTTTTAATAGAATTTTATTCTTACGTTAATTCAAATACGTAACTTAACATTTTAATATCGCTTTGGTCAAAAGAAAAATTTCGTTGTTGAAGTCCGAATACTTTTGACAAATACTAAGTTTTGTGCTGTGTTTGTTGTTCCTTGTAGTTATTAATTCACCTTATCTGGGTATTCTCTTCCTACTTTATAAAAGTTTTCCTTTACATATATATTGTTGAAATTTAATTACTAAACATCAAACAGTTTTAGTGTTGTTGTAAACATTTTTATTTAACTGTCAGTTCATGATTACGATTACTTTGATTACTGATGCATTAAATCTTACTTGGGAAATTGAGTTTACAATTGAGACACGTGAGTATAAAAATAGCTAGTGAAGCTCTAAAGCAAGCATAGAAAGAGAATACACTTCAAGAATATAAAGTTACTTTGTTGTATCTTTTTATCAAATTTATTACAAAACAGATTAAAAATACCACAAATAACTATAAAAAAGTCACGAGATGTATCTTTAATTTACATAAGAATTTATTCTTGGTAAAAATTTTTTGAATTCCTTTCACAAAATATTTTGCGACGTTTCAGACTTGTAAGTTGCACATCCAAATTTGCTAAATTTTAAAAACAACGCAAAAGTTCTCTACCTTCGTTAAGGAAAACGGCAAGTTATTATTTATGTGTTTGTATTGAAGTGGAAATATTTTATGTGGTTTAATAAATATAGGGCTGAGGCAAAATTTTCACAGTTATATGACATTGATGTCTGACGTGGTAAATGTATTTTATAATGGAAACATGTTCATGTAAACAGTTTCATTGACTACAATCATCTCCGTTAATTAAATTCCTTTCATTAAAAACTTAAAATTACGAGCAGAAAATTTCACAAGCCAGCTCAATTTATTCTTGTCCATTCATAGCTGCATCTTCCAGTGAATATTGTAGACGCCAATTTTATATGTGATGAAAAGATTTATTCATTTCAATTTAAAAATCATACATTTCCATATTTTTTGCATATATAACTTGATTTTCATGCGTTGATTCAAAATTATAATTTAACAGTTATTTTTGCAAATATTGGGCATCTACGTGGTTTTACATGATGAGCATCTGATCACTTAAAATTGGCAAATATACGTCGTTGTTCGTTCGTCGTTCATCGTTCGTCGTTCCTCGTCTGTCTTTAAAACGAAGTCTATCAAAGGATTCTTGAAAACCGTGAGTGTTAGTTTGTCCATAGCTACGTATTAAACACTGCTAATATGTATTTCATACAATTCTAGCAATAGCCACAACAAATTAAGAATCATAAATTGCCATATTCTTTGCATATATAAATTGATTTTTATGCGTTGATTTAAAACTATAAGTTAACAGTTAAACATCATTTTAAAAGAAAACATTTATTTATTGATGTCCAATTAATTTTCATTTTATAAATCATCATGAATAATTAAAACAAATGTAAAGAATACACAATAAAGTCTTCCTGAAAAATGGGAAAATTGCAGGAACATGCAAGGACTCGATTACATTAGTTGCCTGAAAAGAGGGCGTTTTATGTTTTTGTACCTATATTATTACTTATAAAACTGCTTATTCATAAGATTTAATCGTCGTTATTTTCATAGAAATTATTAAGATGCAAACTTGCACATCTAATATTAAATGATGTTGTAAATTTCAGATGTACGTGTTTTTGTAGAGTTTTGTGTTAAGTTTGTTGTTTCTTACATACAGATGAATCTATACTTTGTTTGGACTATTCTCGTCATACTTTATAAAAATTCTATAGAACTTTCGCTTAACCCATAAGTTGTTGATACTTATTAAGAACAGTCAATGTGTTCTTTTCCCAAATTTAATCTAACAGATAGTAGATGATTGCAAATGCTTTGATTACTGGTAAGTTTAATCTTGCTGTGTTGTATAATTAAGTTTTAAATAAAAGTATATGAATATTGAAGTACTTGAGGATAAGAAAAATGTTTATGAATTTTTTAAGCAAGATTTATAAACAGATTCATAAACATTTTATAAATGTTTATGAATCTGTTTATAAATTCGCTTACATTACACATCGAAAATACCAAGATTAACATGATAACAACAACAAAATCATATGGTGTATCTTTGATTTACATAACAATGTAATCTCATGATTATTTAAATTCCTTGTAAACCAAAATATTTCTATAAACCAACGTATCGATGATAAAATGAACATTAATTTTCTACGCAATGTAAAATTTAAAAACAAATCGAAGATATCCATCTTCTTCCATGAAAACGGTAAATTTTCCATTAGTTCGGCGGACTAGTATCCCGAAGGTGCGAGTTCAAATCTCGTCCAAGTCACATGTTTTTCATGTGCATATTAAAAACCGTGTTAGGATTAATATATTATATGTATGTAATCTCGTGATTATTCGAATTCCTTGTAAATCAAAATATTTCTATAAACCAACGTATCTACGATAAAGTGCACATTAATTTTCTGCGCAATGGTAAAATGTAAAAGCAAAACGGAAATATCTATCTTCTTCAAGGAAAACGGTAAAATAGTGATGAAGTGTTTGTAGTAAAATGAATTTACTTGCATACGTAGATATCGGTCCAACGACTAAATTCTTAAATATGACATTGCTGTTTGGAAATTTGAAATGTTGATGTTAACTCTGTCTTTTTAAACAATGCAGCTTTGTTATATTGTCTAATAATAATTTATAATAATATATAAATATATTAATAATATTGTAATAATAATAATAATAATAATAATAATAATAATAATAATACCAATAATAATAAATAAGTTCTTTGGTATAATAAGATACTCGAATACATAATACTCGTTTGCAAGCAAGTGAATAAAACTGCAATACAACCTTATAACTACGACGTTATTAGAAAACATTAAAGATTGTATATCAGTGTTCATGAATTTGTGACATTGTGACAAATTTCACAAATGGATACAAATCAACGTTTGATTTACTTAATAAGATTACTAAAGGAAAAAGCCTTTATAGAGCTATGCAAAATACAGATCCCTCGTTGTTCTAAATTTTTTTATTTAAAATGATCTGTTCCATCCGATACAGTCAGTCTTAGTATATTTTATAGATTATTTTCCTCCAGTCATTTTTATGGTCCAATTTCAATGTACTTCAGTTGATCAAATCAGTGGACTTTAAATTAAGTAAAAAAAAGTTTAGTGCTATTTATCTTGGTGCTTCCGAGAGTAAAAATGGTATTTTGGTATTAGAAATAGATAAACTTACCTTCCATTGTAAGTTTTTTTTTCACTCAAGTAATTATTTTAAAATTGCTCTACCATTTTTACAGTAAATAAACGTACATAGAAAAAAATACAAATGACTTGTTATATAAAACTTGTATAGCAATCGGAAATCTAAATTAATTTTCGTGCAAACACAAATACTTAGTCAAGTACTTCCTTATACCTATTGTCATCAATAAACAAAGTTTGCATCATCAATGGATGTTGTTTAAAAATTTACTTTTATTTCATTTTTTTAAACATATCTTAGTTTAAAAGAGACTTGATTATTTTCGAAAATGTCTAGCTAGCTTAAATCAAACGAAAATTGCCAATTCTTACTACACGCATCCGAATGAAATAAAGGATCTTTTTTTCCCATAGAGTCTTAATATATCCGCAAGACAAAATACAGACGACATACTGCTTTATTTTTATAACGAAAATTTTTTGATGTTGTGTTGCCCTAATGGGAAACAATACGTTTGTGTCAAGTCATGTGACTATGATTGAACCAATCACATTTATCATACGAAGCACAAATATCGCAATGTTTGTAATAGAACTTTATTTATTTTAGTTTTTAACATTTTCAAGTTTTCAGGAAACTAGTAATTTATACGTAAGTTAATCACAATTTCGTATACCAATTTTAGTTTTAATTTCAAGAAATGGCTTTCCATTTAAATATTACTGAGGAGGCAAACGGAGCTCGTTTGAGCAAACTTTTAATAAATAAAGGAACGCAAGCATTGAAAGATACATTGCAATATTTATTAAAACCATCAAATTTATCTGCTACACTTAATGATCCTTCTAAAAAGAGTAAATTGAAATCATTAAAAGTCAAAGTGATTGGCAAAGATGAATGGGATCTTCTTTACCCGTCAACTGGTTCACCAGACATTAAAAACTTTGATATTTCATTGTTGACTGTCTTATTGCGAAATATATGCGGTCTATTAGCACCAGCTAGTGGATGGAATAGTCTTCCTCCCGCTTCGGATACCTCAGTCTCATCCAATATTGCAAGAATAAAGTATTATCGAAACAAAGTGTATGGTCACATAACCACAACTAGTTTAGATGACAGTAAATTTGAGGACTTGTGGCAGGAAACGTCAAAAGCATTGGTTGGTTTGGGTATTCAACAAACTGAAATAGATGAATTGAAGGAAGCTCCTCTCAGTGCTGACGAGGCGAATTACATTGAAATGTTGAAAGACTGGCATAAGAAAGATATGACATTGATCGAGTCGGCTGAGGAAATCAAGGAAGATGTCAAAGTGATAAAAAATGATGTAGCTGACATAAAAGAAGAAGTGATGGAAACAAAAGCTGAAGTAGCGGAAGTAAGAGAGATTTTACAGGACAAAACAAGTTCAGATCTCGAGAAGCTTGCAAAGTTTAATTTTAATGGTCGCATCAAAGAACTAAACAAGATGTACTTCCAAGGCACAAGACAGTGGTTATTTGAAAAACTTCACAACTGGCTTAATGACAAAAGTGAAGATGCTTCAAATGTCATGGTATTGATCGCCGGTCCTGGTGTTGGGAAAAGTGTGTTTGCTGCTGAGGTGTGTCGACGATATTCTAAAAAGGAGAAACTGGCTGCTTGTCATTTCTGCAGATATAATCAATCAGATTATTCTAATCCTCTAATGTTAATCGAATCATTCGCCAATACCATGTGTGATGGAATATCTAACTTTGAAACCCAATTGAAGAAAGGTTTAAACAGAAACCATTCCAAAAAATCGATTGCCGATGCATTTCGTGTTTTACTCAATGATCCATTGCATTCATTGCAAGATCATGAACAAATGCTTTTGGTCATTGACGCATTAGATGAAAGTCAAGTTAACGGCAAAAGTGAATTACTAGAGTTGATAGCGAAAGAATTTTGCCGACTACCTAAATGGATTAAAATTTTTATCACTAGTCGTCCAGAACTTCCTGTTCAAAATGAATTGAAAGAAATGAATCCTGTCGAAATAAAAACTCAACCTCGTGATAAAAACAACGAAGAAGACCTTCACAAGTATTTGAAATATCAGTTAAACTATTGTCGCTCTGGGAACACTGAGTATTCTGTTTCTGACGACGTTTTAATTTTGTTGGTTAGAAAATGTGAAGGGTCTTTTCTTTATGCTTATCACGCGCATCAAGAGCTAAAATCGGTAGATGTTGAACTGACCGTGGAAATTATTGAACAATTAGTTCCTCTTGGCTTAAGTGGTTTCTACAAGAATGAATTTCTTAGAGTAAAAACATTATTAAAAGAGATAAGTTCATCGACACACAATATTGTTTTCGCAGATGAAAATTTTAAGAAGTTTCTTGAAGTGTTGGTGGCCTGTCGAGATTTTCTGCCCCAGTCGTTTGTTTTTAAGTGTTTAGGCTTACCTGATGATATGAAGTTTGAAGATAGCAATAAAGTAATTGAAATGATATCTCAAATTTTGCCAGCTTACGATGATCGTGTAACCGTGTATCACAAGTCTCTTATCGATTGGTTGAAATCAGATGGTTATAAAAAGCATGAATTTACAGTTGATTCTCAGTCCATAGTAAACGGACATCAGTTATTGTGGCGTGCTTGTGAGAAAGAATTTCATCACATTAAGTCGATAAACATTTTTGAAGATAAAATGAAAACTGCTATGACTGAATATGCTTTGAAGCATGGGATATATCATATGATAGATTGTGGCAAAAATGTCGACTTTAGTTGGGCAGCAGATGTTAAAATTGTTTTCGCGATATTAATGATGGATCGGTCGGGAAAAAAGGTATCATTTTATAAACTGATTTATACGTCAAATATGGTGTTAATGTCTCACCAGTGGCGGGTAATTATAAAAGAAAGACGAGGTTTCTTGAGTAAAGATTTACTTCAGGAATTATCACGCCTTGAAACTATGAGTGTTATGTACGCTTCAATGTTTCCACCTGTGTCATGTTATTTACAATTTATTGGAAATAGAATAGATGTTAGTGACGAGAAAAGATTTTTGGCAAAGAATTTATTGAAACAAGGAAAACTTGTTTGGTTTGAAGATTTCTTCTCGGCTAATACTTCTAGCAGATTTGATATTCTCAGTCTTGATTTTTGGAGACATCTTTGGAAACCTCCTGAGAGGCATCTGATTTTTTTTAAAAGTTGTTGTTGTTTTTCACCGGATGGATCGTTGTTGGCAGCCTTCGTTTGTTCTGATCCCGTCAAAATTGTTCTTTGGCACGTTGAGCGCTGTACCATTGTGCAAGATATATCCACGAAAATGAAAAATGCTTTAGGATGTTGGTGGGCGAATGGTTTACTGTGGATGTGGGATGGTTCTGATTATCTTTGGAAAATATCAATGTCATCTAACTGTTTTGCCGATACAGAGGTTAAATATGTATACATTGGATTCAAAGTAAAAACAATTTTAACATTTGGTGACGTCTTAGTTTGCATTGACCAAGAAAATGTCGTTCGAGTTGTTAGAATTACCAACGGTGAAATACAATATAACAAGTGTCTTCCTATCGATAGTTTTGATTGTAAAGTAGCTGTATCACCTGATAATTCCACAATTTTAAGTGTCAACAAAACAAAGTTTACAATATGGAAATGGAGAAATACAGAGGACGAACTTTACCTTGAAGCATGGCACACTGCAGAAGTACCAGAAATACCGGTAAAGACTTACCTTAAAGTATCTGTAGAAGATTTCCTCTACAATTGCAATTTTACAAATGATAGTAAACAAGCGGTCCTTTTTCTAAGTCCTAAAGCGACCTATCATGCTTTTTGTCTTATTGATGTGCATTCGACTGGGAATGTGAGCGCTGTTTTGTCATTTAAGGGAGATTGTTTAAACGACGTCTTTTTTGTTTATAAATCTTACTACATTGGAATAAATACATTTTGCTGTTTGACTGCTCTAGATTTAAAGACTGGTAAACAATGCGCGGAGATTAAAATACACGAGGATCGTAATGTCCCTCCAGTGATATATATTCATTCCGAAACAGGAACTGTCGCTGTAATATCAGATAGAGAATTCAATGAACGAAAAATTCACTTTTTTAAAGTTAATGTTCCTGAATGAATTAATCATCGATCAATATAACTTACAAAAAACATGTTGATATTTCCTGATAAATACGCATCACTCAAACCATGAAGTTTCTTATGTAAATAATAGACAATTATTGATGGTGTCTACAAAGAAGTAAAAAATATCGCATATGAATTTTATTTATATCGTTTCATTGACCAGTAGAAAAATTTTCGTCTGCTGATGATTTGGTCAAGTAAAACACAGAAAGACAAAAACGAAGTACTGTGACCAAACATACTTGTTCCAGTTGATCATTCGAGCTCGAAACTTCCAGTATAAAAAATTTTTGGTAATCACACAATCCCAATTGCCAAATAGCAATTGGAATGTTGTGAGTTAACAAATGATGAAAGATAGGTACGAAATGCGTACATGTCGGTAACTTGTCAAATATATTATTATATGATCAATTAATTGTTTAACCTTGTTTGCATTTTTCCAACGCTTAGGCTTAGATTCCATGTCAGGTGACTGTGCTCAAGCCTCGCAACGAGGAAAGTAACGTCATTTAGATTTCTCACGAATTTTTAAAGTTTTTTCACCGAAAAAGCATTTTTGCTATAATTGTGTTTCAAAAAAGTTTTCTGACATATTTAAGATATCGTTCATAGAACGTCATTCCCATAAACACAACACGCTTATGACATGTATTGGATTACATTTGAAAGTAAACGCTTTGCGTTGTGGATTGTAAATGATCACAAGTCCTTTGTATTTCTTATTCATAGTTTGACACGTATCATATTTCACTTGATGGAAAATAACAAAAACTGTAAATCCATAGAAATAATATTCGTGTTTTGTACAATATTCGAAAGCAAAATAAATTCATTTGCTCTAAGTGTTTGACTTCATTAACTGCGTACTGTAAGTCTGTATGAGTAAAGCGAACTATGTAGAAGCAATGTAAGTAGCTAATGCCAAATTGGACTATATATATATACCAGAAACTACATCTTACTAGGTACAAGTTGCTTATACCGGTCGCTGGAACGAAATATAATTGTTATTTGTGGTCGCCTGTGAGCAGGCCTTTGAATAATATCTTGACTTTTATTTATTATGCTTTTATGAAGTTTTGAGAAGAAAAATTGTTCGTTTTCACATCCCATTAATTGATCTCATGTTTAGTTCCCTTGAATAGATGACAACTGCAATATCGTACAACCTATACAAGTCAATTTTTTGGGCCGTGATGTTTTTAGATACTATTTCTCGAAATAACAATATTTTCCTTTCAGTGTTTGATTAAGTTCACCAACAGAGTACTGTAAGTCAGTATGAGTAAAGCGAAAAATGTATAAGTAATGTAAATAATGCTATATAATACATCCTTTTAAGTACAATTTGCTAGTACTGGTCGCTGGAACGAGATATAATTGATATTTGTGATCGCTTGCTAGCCTGCATCTTAATAGTATCTTAATTTTTTATTTATTAGTTTTTATGAAGTTTTGTTAAGAGTAAATTGTTCGTTTGTACATCCCATAAATCGGAGCTCATGTTTAGTTCCACCTGAATAGATGACAAGGAATATCGTACAACTATACAAGTCAATTTTTCGGCCGTAATGTTTTTAGTTAATATTTCTCAAAATAACGACACTTTCTTAGGATTATGAAACCGACGATTCTGTGTTTACTGCAAATAACTTCTGCTTGATCTTTAACGCGGCCAGACGCTTCACAGTTCACGCATACGAAATGTGTTATAAAATTCATATTATATTTATATGCGCATGGATTCGTTGTTATAGTTTTTATTTCGAATGAATAAAACTCACGATACTTTTCCGAGAAAGCAATAAACGCACAAAACGGTATTGTTCGCCATCGTTCGTATATCCGACTATCCCCGAGGATTACGACGGACAGACAGACAGACAGACGGACACTTTTTCAGTGTAGCACATTCGTTAAGCGCACATGCGCAGCGGCTACCCACAAAAACTGTCATCACGTACATAAGCCCGTTGTAAAACTGCTGTTAAGGCTAATTTAGTATACACGACAAATTTTTATGTAAAAAAGTCATGTTTCATTATCTCGTTAATAGACACAAGTTTCTTTGAACAAGGGAATTCATTTTCTTTAAATGAATTTTATTTTCTGTTTTCACTTATATAGAATGAAATTCAAAATTACAAAGTCGGGCAATACGTCGTGTAATTTAAATGTTAACTTGTGTCAATCGTAATGTAACAATAAAACCCTACTGATGATCAATTAAGACCATTGTGCTTTCAGTTATACCAGTAGAAATGATAAAAACTGTTATTGACAATGAAACCTGCTTCGACAGCTATTTGACTAATTTGTATGTAATCAATATTTTCATTACGCATTTACGTTATTTTGGTGGTGACTTGTGAATATGCGATAAAATTTTACAAGACTATACAAGGAATTCGATTGCAAAGAATATACAGGATGTATGAAAACGCTAGGTAGAAATTTTTAATTTCAATGCCCAAGCACTGCTAAGCTAATGGGTGCATTATTGTGCAGATTTTTGCGAAAAAAGGTTATGTTCAAATACCAGGAAAGAAAAAGCGGCAAAAATTTGAACTTGGTCAGTGCTAAAAAAGGGGGGGGGGGGTGTGCGCTTGGGAGAGGAGCCCCTTTCTACTTTTAAAATGGGTAATTTTAAAAGGGCACTATTGACAAAAACGTCAAGAGATCCCCCCCATCTGATAAATGTAGTTCTACAGCACTGAACCCCGTGGCATAAGGGAGGCAAAGGAGCAGTCGCTTCCAATTGTTATACAGAAAAGATATTTTCAAAGTCACGAATTTAATTTAAATACTAGAGGAAGGGATTGAAATTTAGTAGATGATTTTGTTGAATAAGATATTTTAAAATAGAAAATTAGCACTGCTTATTATATATATTTTAATAGAATCTATAGTTGCACTGCCTTGTTTCAAAGATTATTGATCGTGCTCCCAGAAGAAAAATTGGTTTTGTCCTTCTCGTCTACACTTTTAGTAAAGAGAACATTTCACAAAATTCAAATACATATACTGTCATCATGCTAACTTATTTACTAGTCTGAACTCTTTTCATTTATATTAGACTTTATAAGAAAGCATTGTGGTTATAGTAATATTAATGGCGTGCATAATATGAAAATTATAAGAAATTACGTGTTCTAGAAGAATAAGGTGCAAGAGGTGAAATTTACATGGTATTGGAGTTAATAAGAAATTGAGCATGTTCACCTTGAGAAAAATATTTGCCAAAAGTAAGAAAAATGGTTGCAACTATTATTAAAAGGCTATTTCAACTAGAAAATAATCACAAAAAAGTGTAAAAGCTAAAAATAACCAGTAAATGTTTGGTAAGACCTTTCTCTAAAATAATTTTAAATGCATGGTTGTCCTTGTTGCAACATTTTTTAGTTTCTTTGACCAAAAATGTTTTACTTTTCACTTGTGGCGATACGTGTGTCCGGTTCTTGGAGCTTGACAGAAAGACATTTATGATTAACTAATGAAAAGATTCAAAGATAGTGAAATGAGAGTACTAACCAATGCTTGTAGTTTACAATAGATATTAGATCAACATCTTCAAAAAGTGTCAGCAGTAATTAAATTTTAGATTGGGATCAAACTAATATAATTTGGTGTGGACCTTTAAAATATGATTGGTTATAATTAGGACAAGTGCGAAATCAAAGTTTATATAATAACCAGATAAATTTGAGCAATTTCATTGGTCGAGAGCTATGATGTATAAGAGGACATACGCAAGGAATTGACGTCACAGAAAATTTCATGTTTATAAAAACAAGCAAATGGCGGATATATTTGAAAATTTATCGTAATACCTCCCTGAATGGGAAAATAAAGATATTCACAAGAACCTAGTTGAGGCAGTTAACGTATTTGAGCAGAAAAAGAGAAAAAACTCGGTTTTCAAACATTAATTTGAACTTCGTCTTTCATAACAAAATTTCAACAAAATTGATCAGCAATTGCTTGTTTATTTTGTTAGCCGATCACATTTTATCACGTGATTAAGCTAGCCAATAGCAATTCTTCAATTCTATAGATCACGTAAGCGTGATATTTGCAAAATCAATACTTTTCAATGTTCCAGGTGATAGGGGACAAAGAAAACAAACTGTTTGACCGTTTAATTTGGAATTTTTTTTGATTTTATTACATAAACTCGCCCTGGTGGTTCGTGGCCACTTTTTTAGTTTTTATCACAATTGACGTCATATCCCTGTATCTATAACTCTATAGACAACGGTCAAATGTTATCTATTTGTTAATTCTCTTATTAAATATATAAGGGATGTCTTGAATAAGTTCTGATCCAATAAAACGCTCAAAGTCAGTAACAATTACGTTAGCTAAAACAGGATCTAGAGACAGGTCATGAAGACGTCATTTTTAATACTACACTGAGTACGTTAAAAAAATAGCTCAAGCATTTTAATGTACTAGAAATATTCCTACAGTTAAAGGAAATTTTCTTTAGATTGCAATTAAACAATAAAAAGTAGAGATATCAAGTTTATGAATATTTCATGACAGTAATGACACATACAATTTTTTTTAATGAAATTGCTATTTAGTAACAAGAAAACGAAATTTGAATTTGCAAATTGAAAAAATCAAAAATTGTTTTACTAATTTAATCATCATGAGCTAGGTTTGGTAAAAATTTCTTTCAAAAACGTCTAAAACGGCGGAATTTCCTTATTTCAAGATAGCAATTTATACTTGAGTACGTTATCAGTTCACCCAACCCCCTAAAAACAAGATTCCTGGCCAGGCCTGCCTGCAGGAAAAATAGTTCTGAAATTCATTTAGAAGATTGTTTGTGAGCGTGAAACTCATACAACTGAGCTAGCAGATTTGGACTTGCCTGTGGAAAGCAAAGGAAACACAAAAGAGCTTGAAGCAGCACAAGAAGGAATTCAGAGCATGAATGACGCAGAGGAGAGGATTGACGGAAGTAAGAATGAGAATGAGACT